TGGAGTTGAGCTGGAACATTCTTGTCTCTCCTTCACTCCACAATATTGGATGAGTGAGAGGCTTATATATCCGTCTTCTACAACATTCCATGCTCCCATGTCACTTGCTTGAATGAAATACATCATCCTATTCTTCCAATAGGTATAGTTAGCACTATTGAAGAAAGGAGGCTTGTTGACAGGCATTGAATCGAGACCGGAGTCGAAGTTTGAAGTATAGGCCATTGATGACTTGATTATCAATGTAACTCTTCTCGTATCGACTTGAGAGGCAATTACACCTTCAAATGAGTGAGGCTCTGATACCAATTGTTGAGTTAATCGATTGATGGAATCGGCCAAGAGGGGATGAATTGGCAATTAAAATTTTAGTGGAAGCTTTTGTAGAAAATTGAAAAGATTTGCACAGCGATTTAGAGTGGTTCGACTTTCTCAACCAAAGTCTACATCCACTACCTTAGCTATCCACACTAAGGATTTTCCAACAAATTCACTAATTTGTTCTTTCTTTTGAGGCCAAAGAGATAACCTTACAACTCCCTCAAGAATATACCCCAATTCTTGAGAACACTCTTTCTCAAAGAGAAGATTATAAATTTGTAAACTTACAAGAAAATCCTCACAAGGTAGATTGTTTGCACAATTCTAGAACAAAGAAAAGAACACTAAAAAATGAATACAATTGAGTACAACTAGTGTTCTTGAAAGCAAAATGAATATTGAATGAAAAATAGACTTTAAATTGCTCAAACTTTAGGTTTGATGCTTTCTCTTATATTCTCTCTTAATTCTTGATTCTTGTTGTTTCTTATTTTTTATCATTGGCTTCTAAGCTTGTTTAAATACTCCTTCAAATGATTAGTGAAATTAATAGAGCCGTTTAAGTGTGAAAACAATTAATAAAATCAGTTGGGAGCGTCAGTGCATCGATACATACACAAGGTGCATCAGTGCATCAAATGTAAAATTCAAATATTTTGACCGTTAGACCGTTAGTGCATCGGTGCACTAAGAGTGCATCGATGCATGAAGTGCATTCGATGTTTCAAAATAGCCTGAGTGCATCGATGCATGGCTTGTGCATCGATGCATCAAATGCATTCGATGTTTTCATAAAACCCTGAGTGCATCGATGCATGGCATGTGCATCGATGCATAAAATGCATTCGATGTTCAATTTATTCATTGGTGCATCGATGCATGGATTGGTGCATCATTGCATCCCTTTGAAAAAATTGATTTTAGGATTGATTTTGGCTCAAAATACTTTGTGAAAATTGTTTCAAAAATCGTCATTGCATTGTAGATACTCCTTGAAGCATGTACATAATAAATGCACTCACCCAGTATGCCTCAATGTTATGCCTTAATGTAGTACGACTATTCAACAACTTTATCCTTGCCTTTATGTTTGCTTGACTCGGGGATTTGATTGCGATATTCACATGCATCAAATATCACACATACAACATAATATACAATGTTAGTATACTTTCTAATATTTATACAAAATAATAATACTCAAAAGTATTATTATTTTCGAATTCTTTTAAAATTCATCCTAACTTTTCCTTTTTATTCATAAGGGACCCTTGTCACAAATCCTTCCATTAAAGCCCTCAACCAGTAATTTACAGTATTATTCATCTATTATTAATAAATTCACATTTACATAAACGAAATAAACCATCCACTTAAAATTTCATACTGAATAGTATCAGTACCCCTCCTATAGTATCGGTACCCCTCCTATAGTATCGATATTTCTCTTTTATGGTACCTATATCCACTTCAGTATTGATGCCATTTTTACATTATGGAATTCCATTTTTCAATTACAGTATCGATACCTTCCTCTAGGTATCGATACCTCCACATCAGTATTGATACTATTTTCATCAGTATCGATACTATTTTCATCAGTATCGATATTTTCATCGTATTCATCATCTTTCCTCCAATTTAACCTTATAGTATCAATATTGTTCTTCCAGTACTAGTACCCTTACCCAGATTTTACTTATTTCACTTCGATTTTTACCCAAATTTCACCTAAATCTCTTACTCTTATCTCCAACCATACCAACAAACTCATTATCACTTATCCCAACTAACTTACATTCATAAATCTCCTTATAACATTCAATTTCTCCAAAGAAAACCTAAAACTAAAAATCGCACTAAAAATTCAAACATGTTTTCAATCACTTCTAAGGCTCCAAATCTCTAATTTACATCTTTGACAAGTCAAATGTGCTTTTAAAATCAATTACTGACCAAATTTCATCAAATCACTTAAAAACTCATTTTATTAAATAACTAATAAATTACTAATCTCTTAGTTTTAATCATCCTTAAACTTTCCTTAAACTTCTTTATCACTTAAGGCTTCAAAATAAACCCAAAAATAAAGGAAAAGCCAACTTGAATAAACTTTACCTTGGCAATGGAGTTACAGGGAAGAGAAGAAGAAAAGTAGATAACCCACTTTCCAGACTTATTTTTTTTTCACCATTCACTTAATAAATATCTCCAAAAGAAATAATATTAAATTTATTTCCTTCTAAAATACCATAATGCCCCTCCATTCTTTCATCCTTAATAATAAGTCTTAAACATAATTTCCTAAATCAATCCTAGTATTTTTCAATTTATTCAAATTAACCCACCAAATTTTAAATCCTTACACTATAGTCACTAACCCGATGTTTGGGGTATTACACTAAAACTTCATCAAACCCCATTATCTCTCTCTATAAATTAGAAGTATTCCCCTCACCCAAATTAGAAATTGAATACATAACTGGAACCCTTGAACTATAAGATTTCCATTGGTAATGTCTGTTTCTAAGATTTGGTAAGTTGATTTTAAAGCCTAAATTTAAATTTAAAGATTCAAGTAGTTCAGGGTTTCAATATCCAAATTCAGGTTCGTCATTTAAAAATTGATGAATTTCCTGATGAATGGTGTGATTAATTCCACAAATCCAGTGTGTGTGGATGAAATTCTAAACTTAATTTGATTTAGGGTTTATGCGTAAATAAGGGTTCCATTGAGATCGGTAGTGATTATTGAATAGCTTTGTGATTCTATGTTTCTATATTTGATAGAGCAAAGGTATTCGGTGGAGGATCGAATCAAGAAAGAAAAGCTAAAGTTCCCCGGAGTGTATAATCAAGATAAGTTAAGTTACTTCGATTAAGGTGAGTGCAATTCTTTTTGTTTATACGTGTCTTGTAAGTGATGTCTATGTACATTATTGTCTCATTTAGAGCATCAAAGGATGTCAACATGTGTATTCATAAGATTGGTAAGTTATGTGCTTTTGATTGATATTGAAATATGTTATGTGTATCTTTGTGATATTATGTTGTCTTAGAGATGTTCAAACATGAAATTGGTAAGTTATGATATTACCTTGTCGATTTTAAGATACAATTAGCATGCCATATAGTCTATAGTGCTTGTAAAAGTACTGTTTAGACTTCGATTTTGTTAGTGACAGAGGTATCATAATTTGGTTGGACTCTGTCCATGGTAGTGACAGAGGAATTATTATTATTGTGTGCTATATAAAATATTGACATTGACGATGAGATTCACATATCTATTATTCAAAAGAGTACCATTGGGATTATGTTTATTGTTTTGACATGATAGTATACATGTCCATTGATATGCTTATTGTTAAAGATGATAAAAATACAATGTTATTGTTACGATCAATAGATTTCCCATATGAAGTGTCATTATGTTTATGACTCACAAAGTTATATAAGATTACTTTGTGTGTTCTAATGTTTTTATGATATCACTCTACTTAAAGGATCGAGATTACATTTAGGAGTTGCAAGTCATCAACTTTGTTTTGTGTGACCATCTTGTTAAAACTCCTAGAAGGGTGACTATGTAAATCTTATGTCATTTTGATGACTATGTTATTTTGATGTGTGTTTTTTTGCTGTTATATATATATATATATACATATCATACAAATTCGAGGAACTCGACTCAAAATTGAAAATCAATCCACTAATTATAGAAAATTTCAAATCATTCGAGTTGTATTTTACAATTCAATTTAAACTTGAAATTTTTTCGAGTCGAGTTTATGAAATTATAACTCGAAGTCAATTCGAGTAGAATTTTTTTTAATCGAATTAAATAAAAATGATTTTTTGAATCGAATTTTGCTAACCCTACTAATTAGTACTTATATAGTGCATGTTTGGATGGTGATTATTTTCCTTTCCACATATAGTTTAATTATTTCAGAGAAAATAATGCCAGTGTTGGTCTCCCTCAAAACTTTAATCTCATTGCCTCTTTTTCTTTTTTCTTTTGGCCTTTATTGGACGTTCGCATTTTATTAATATCGCTTTTTGTTACCTTTTCCCTGTTGCCTTTGACTTTCAGTTTATCAAGGAATACAGATTCGAACAAAAATAGAATTAAAAGAGAAGAAGAAGAAGCGAGGGGACAATTTTAGAATAATTTATATGTTTCATGAGTGAAATTAACGCATGTTTCTACCATCTAATTATTCAACTATTGATCCACTGCATGCAATGGGATTCGTTTCAGGCTTTTACAAGCGTTTAGATTTTTAAAATATTTGTTTTTCTTCTTTAAATTAAAACATTTAAATCAAATACTTACTATACATTGAGAATTCGGATAACATGAGAAGCGGCCAGTGACTAGATGTTCCATGGAAAGGAGCAATGAGTGGAGGAGACTAACACGTGCTACTTTTCTGGCTGCTGAAAATTTAATTAAGCAAAAAAAAAGGATTATATATTGAGCAACACAAGGCTTAGTTGGAGATGAAATTCGTTGAATAAAACCTTGGAGTTAACTAATTATCCACCACAAATAAGATACAATAATGGACTTCCCACCTCTTAATTAACTTTTTTTATGTATATAATCCTTCAATGGAACCAACTCCTTCAGTCATCTGAATCTGAACCCAAAAAAAAACACCTGGAAATTAAATATGGCAACTTCAGTAACATCCACCCATTTCTCCCAGGAATTGCTTCAAAGCTTCCATCCAAGAAAATTTCTCTTACACTCCTCTCTTTACCCAGCAATTTCACCAGCTGAAGGGCACAGTTATTCCATCAATGAAACCTTGCATACAAATGCAGCCATTGTTCTCCTAGCTCTCGTTTGCACCATCATTTCCGCTTCTGGCTTGTTTCGTATCATCAAGTGTGCAAATAGAGGCTCATCTTCTGTTTCTGCTGCTGAACCCAAGTTAGACAATGCTGGAGTTGAGCAGGAAGCCTTAAAATCCTTTCCGATCGTAAAATACACAACCGAGTCGAAACTGCCGGGCCTGGACACGGCCGCTTGTGTTATATGCTTGTCAGAGTTCACCGCCGGGGAGCGACTCCGTATTTTGGCAGAGTGCAACCACGGATTTCATACTAGTTGTATAGATACATGGCTTGGTTCACATTCTTCATGCCCTACATGCAGGCACAGCCTGACTGAAACAAACAAGATTAATATGGAAAGCATGCAGCCAATGGAACAGTGACAGTGGTAAATACAATATGGCAGTGGTAAAGAGAAAGCATTATTAAAAGAAGTGATTAAATATGATAAGCGATGAACACTTTCCTCAAGGAACATGAATAGTTTAGAAGCACTTTACAGTGTTAAGAAAAAAATATCTAGCAAAAGAAATAAATAAGCATTAATGTCAACTCTGGTTAGAATTTGCAGTTGTTTCAAAAGCACTGGAGAAGAACTGAAGTGAATGGTGATACCTAACAATATGTTTTTTGTCTCCACTAATAAAAATAATATATTAAGAGTAGCCACTAAAAAAACTACAAAACATCCAATGAAAATCACAAGACAAAAGTTAACATATACATAAATCACCCCAAAACAAAAATATATGTTAATACCTCAGTACAAGACAGTGAAGAGTAGGAAGTGAACACTCTCCCATGACCACCGGTACATACAAATGTTCTGCTTTAACATATTTGATTCATACAACATATTTTTTTACCAAAATTGAAAACATAAGATATTATTTAAACGTTTAAAAATTATGATTGGTTATTCTTCATCTTAAAAATAATCAAATTAAATTATTTACAATACCTTAATTGGGTAGGAGCTGGTGAAGGGATATAATAGATCTGCTTCTTCTCCTAGGTGAGCTCCAAAAGTTTATATTCAAAAAGATTTTGATTCTGTCCATTGGGACTTTTTGTTTGTAATTTTGGAGGCTCTAGAGGTTACTCGTGTCACTATTGACTCGCTTCGAAATTGTATTATCCATTCAAAATTTTCAGTTGCCTTGAATGGAGAGATGTTTAGGTATTTTGATGCAACAAGAGATTATACATTAACCCCATCTCTCCCTACTTGTTTATTTTAACTATGAATGTATTGTTTCATATGTTGAATATTAATTTTGCTCATATGCGTTTCAATTTCTTCCTAAGTGTCATAGGATTACATTTGTACTTTGCGGATGATCTTTCGATTTTTTTTCTGAAGACAAATAATATTTTTTATGATGGAAATTTGGGTGGTGTTGCAGCATTTTATGATTTCTTGGGGCTTAAATTTAATTCGAAGAAGAGTGAATTGTATGTTATTGGTGTTCCTATGGCCGAGTTGCTGGCCATTGTTGATGATACTGGTTTTATAGTTGGGATACTTCTTATTAGGTACTTAGGAGTTTCGTTGGTGACTAGAAAACCAATTGTGGTTGATTGTAAATCTTTGTTGGATAGGTGTGTTGAGAGTTCAAAGAAAACACTTATTGAAGAAAGATAAGCAAAAGGGATGTACTTCATTAGAGCTTTTCGAGCAATAGGATTCTTTAAACTGAACCCTAACCACCTGTAACTACTTGAAACCAGTTACAACAAAGTTAACTAATTTAACTTCCTATAACAGCTCATCCTTTAATATCTCCAACATTCTCCCTACTTTTCTTCCTCCTCTAATGCAGCTCAAATACGAACCCTGGTTCGAAAAGCTTCAAAAGCAGCCCAAGTCAGAGGCTTAGTAAACTCGGCTTCCACTTGATGACTTGCAGGAATAGAGTTCACCAGAACCTGCTTGGCTGCCAGCTTTTCCCTAACGAAATGCACATCCAACTCCACATGCTTTGATTTCGCGTGATACAAAGGGTTAGCACTCATGGCCACTGTGTTGCTGTTGTTGCACCAGATTACAAGATCACCTTGCTGCATCACCCCCATATATGTCAGCAAAGCACTCACACACGACACTTCAGCAGCCACATCAGCAACAATCCTATACTTTGCCTCCATCGTGGACCTTGAAACGAACTTCTATTTTTTCGAAGCCCACGACACTAAGTTTTCCTCTACAAACACACAGTGACTTGATGTAGATCTCTGTTCATCCAAGTTCGCACCCCAATCAACAGTAGCAAACATTTTGTTATGTATGGCTCATAAAAAGTCTCGTTGTGGGGTTACGAATTATGTGGGTTGGGGGTGTGGGGGCGCAGCCCCCGCGGTACGGTACAGGGTTGATTTTGTAATTATGTACCATGGTTTTCTATTATAAATAGAGATGTAACCTAGACCTAAAATATCATTGAATAAAACTTCTAGCGCCGCCTAGGCACCGAGGACGTAAGCACATTGCCGAACCTCGTAAAATTCTCGTGTTCTTTCGTTTTCTTTACCCGTTTTCGTCAACAATTGGTATCAGATGTCAGGAGCAAAATTCGAAGTCGCGAAATTCGATGGTCAGGGTAACTTCGGATTATGGCAAACGAGGGTGAAGGATCTATTAGTGCAGCAAGGGATCTTGAAGGCTTTGCGACATATAAAGCCGGCGTCGATGGATGAGGAAGATTGGGAAGAATTGCAGCAGCGAGCGGCAGGAACCATACGATTATGCTTGGCGGACGAGGTCATGTATCACGTCATGCATCTATCGTCTCCAGACGAAATTTGGAGGAAGTTGGAAAGTCAGTTTATGTCCAAATCCTTAACGAAAAAACTGTATCTGAAGCAGCGGCTGTATGGGCTGAAGATGCAGGACGATCACGATTTGGCGCAACACGTGAATGTCTTCAATCAAATCGTTTCTGATCTGGCTCGGCTTGATGTGAAAATTGAGGATGAAGACAGAGCGATGATTCTGTTGTGTTCTTTACCTTCCTCTTACGAACACATGGTGACTACTCTTACATATGGGAAAGAGACTATCAATGTTGAGGAGATTACTGCAGCCTTGTTGGCTCACAACCAGCGGAAGCAGAATGCAGGGGAAAGCTCTCAAGCCGATAGCTTATATGTTAAGGGTAATCGAGATCGTGGACGGAAGCCAGAGAAGGCAGGGTCCGGGAAGCGGAATTCCAGATCTAAATCCAGGGATAAGAAGACGATTCACTGTTACAAGTGCAAGGAGGCGGGACATATGAAGCGAGACTGTCCGAAGTTGAAAAGCAGACTGATGAGAAGCGTGATGGCTCATCCAAGTCTGTGAACGTGGTCGAGGATGATAATTCTGATTGCAGTGAGGGTGATATGCTTTCTATTTCAACGACACAATTGACGGATGCTTGGATTCTTGATTCTGGATGTTCTTATCACATCACGCCAAATAGGGAATGGTTTTCGACATACAGGCCGGTTAATTCTGGTTCGGTTTATTTGGGTGATGATCGATGTTGCAATATTGTTGGTATTGGTGATGTCAGAATTAAGATGCACGATGGCTCCGTTCGGATGTTGAGTGGTGTTCGACTATCCCAGACTTGAAGAAGAATTTGATTTCCTTGGGCACTTTGCACAAGAATGGTTTTATCCCTAAGGCTGACGAGGATAGGGAAACCATTCGGATTGTTAAAGGAGCATTGACTGTGATGAAAGGCAAGATGACTGCAGGGAATATCTACAGATTGTTAGGGAGTACCGTTGCAGGTGGAGTTCACTCTGTTGAGTCCTGTGATGATACGACAAAATTGTGGCATATGCGCCTTGCTCATCTTAGTGAACGTGGTATGGCAGAATTACACAAGAGAAACTGTTGCATGGTGTCAAAAGCTGTAAGCTCGACTTTTGCAAGTATATGTTCTTGGTAAACAGACTAAAGTCCGTTTCAAGACTGCGAAGCACACAACTCAAGGGATTCTTGATTATGTGCATTCTGATGTATGGGGGCCTTCCACGACATCGTTTGGGTGGATCTAGGTACTATGTTACTTTTATTGATGATTTTTCACGGAAAGTTTGGGTGTATTTTTGAAACAGAAATCTGAAGTTTTTGAGAAGTTCAAGCTGTGGAAGCTGAGGTAGAAAACCAAACAGGACGAAAAATCAAGTGTTTGCGGTCTGACAATGGTACGGAGTACACAGATTCACATTTCCTACAATTCTGTAAGGAGCATGGGATTCAGAGGCATTTTAGTGCGCAAGACACCACAACAGAATGGTGTTGCGGAACGAATGAACAGGTCGTGAATGAAAAGCCAGATGTTTGCGGTTGAATGCGGGGCTTCCCAAACACTTCTGGGTTGAGGCTGTTAACATGGCGTGTTACCTTATCAACAGATCGCCAAGGGCATCGCTGGCTGGGAAAGTTGCAGAAGAGGTATGGACTGGTCATGATGTTAGTTTTGATAACTTACGGATTTTTGGTTGTCCTGCTTATGTGCATGTACCTGCTGATGAGATCCAAACTTGATGCAAAATCGAAGGAGTGCATTTCTGGGTTACAAGAAAGGTGTCAAAGGATTCAAGTTCTGGATCCAGTTGCGAAGAAAGTTGTGATTAGTAGAGATGTCGTTTTTGATGAACAGTCTATGTTGCAGCAGAAGCAAGACACGACAGTTAGATTTCGAGCAGTTTCCAGTTGAGAAACCAGAAACTTCTCAACCGACTTGTGGTGGTTCCACTACGGATGATTTGCAGGATTATAGTCTCGCCAGAGACAGGGTGAGACGATGAATATAAAGCCTCCGAACAGATTGGGTTTTGAAGACTTGGTATCTTTTGCACTTACTGTTAGCAGTGATGATCCAGTTACTTTTCATGATGCCGTTACTAGTCAGGAAAACGACAAGTGGATGGCAGCCATGGTTGAGGAGATGGAGTCTTTGAATCACAATCGCAGATGGGAGTTAGTTCCCCTTCCTGAGGGTAAGAAGCCGATTGGTTGCAAATGGGTATAAGAAGAAACCAGTAGTAACAGAAAAAGAGGGAGAAGTTCAAGGCTCGTTTGGTAGCGAAAGGTTTTTCACAGCAGAAGGAGTTGATTATGATGAAATCTTTTCTCCTGGTCAGGCACACTTCAATCCGAGCAGTACTTGCATTGGTGGCTAGTTGGGATTTGCATTTAGAGCAGATGGATGTTAAAACTGCTTTTTTGCATGTGATTTAGAGGAGCAGATCTACATGCGGCAACCTGAAGGTTTCACTCAACCTGGAAACGAGCATTTAGTTTGCAGATTGAAGAAATCTTTGTACGGTTGAAACAGTCTCCATGACAGTGGTATAAACGGTTTGACTCCTATATGATCAAGATTGG